CAGACGGCCTGAGATCATGAATAGTCTGCAGGCAGCCAATGGTGCTCCGTATTCCCTTCACCAGTAGCCTGGGGCCAAGGGTTGACATTTTTAGATGACTTGTTCCTGTATATGAAACAGCAAATTAAAAAAGGTCACCAGAATCACGTGGCTGCAAGTATGCTAGTTCTCTGAATAAAATGAATAGTCATACACTATGTCATCGAGGTAGTTCTTCATTTAGGCCTGTTGTACACGATAAAATCTTAAACCATGTTAAACTCATGACTGTTGAATGCTACAAAATGGCAAAAATACATTTCAAAGTGGATGACAGTTTTCTGATCTGAAACGCAGCATACAGTCCTAGAAGTATTGGTTATAAACAGAGATGATTCTTGTCGCGACTGTATTACTTATTTGAAGTACAACATCACATAAATTAAACTGACTGTATCTAAACCTTTTAAACTAAATACAAACTTTCGATTATAAGGAACAGTAACATGACTCAACGCAGAATACTCAGCGTAAAAACGTTTGCACGCAGTAAAACACCATATATGTTTTTGAGCAAAGGTAGCTTTTTGTGGCTCGTTGCCATCACTAGTCTGAGACATAATTACTAAAAAAGAGCTATAACGGTGCTAAGCGGAGAGGAGCTTCTTGGGAGTATTATGAATATGTTCATTTCGTTAACAGGGGAGCGTTTCTCCGTGTTTACTATCATGGAAACAGTCTCACTTTTAGATGGAGGGGATGTTCCTCCCGGTTAATAAAGGAACAATGATTCCCGAGACCGAAAGCTGGATATGCATTTTACTAAGATGCAGAACACAATAGATAACACGTTTGGTACATGGTAGCGAACCTTTTAATTTTGCTCTAACAAGTAGAGGGCTGTTATAACAACGCAAAGGTCGTGGGTTCAAATCCCCACAAATTAACGTATTACTGTAAGTCGCTTTGGATAAAAACCTGTGATAGATAAATGTTGTTCCCCTTTAACTAACATTTTCCTATTTTTACAAACTGTACCTTCAGCTATTTTTCCGTGTCCACGATGATATCGGCGGTGTTTACATGCCTGCAGGAACATGACCCCATGTCGCCGATTCTCCTCACACGTTGATATCTAGCGACAGGTCAGCACATCGTAGTAGTTTTTGATAGACGCTGAACGTCACTGGAATAACCGGCCTGCAGACGGACTTAGTGAATAGGTTGATCGACATGCAGCACAGTTCTGCAGCTCTGTGACACTTTCCGCCAAATACCTTGCAGATAGTCTAAAATGACAAATAAGTTTATCTTATTCTAGTGTTGTTGGCCCTATTTTTTTCATGTATACTCTAGATATTACTACTAATTCGTTATTTATCTTTGCACAAATGGAAATTCTATAATATATACATCTATGCACCACAAACACCCGTGTATTTTCATTTTCAGTATTTCTGAAATCACACCTCGATCGCACTTCATTATTATTTATTACATAAATATTCAGGCGCCCGAGTTCAATGCAGTTTAGTCGCAGCATAAGTTTACATATCATCGAACTACAAAAAATATGTATTTTATAGCGATTAATAACAAAACAAAAATTCATACTTTTTATATGTGCCCAATGACAGTCTTAATTCAGGTAACTGAATTAGTTGAAACCGCGACCTCTTCAGGAAATGCAGCGAAAAAGTGAGAGCAGAAGAGAAATTAATTCATATTCCCTTATCAAAAACAAAGTACGCAGATCCCCAAGCACTATAGGGACACCAGAGAAACTTGCGCAGCCGTCATATGACGAAGCGGAAGTGTAGTTCACAGAACTGCACACGCATGCGCATTATGGCCATACATGATACATATCAACCCGGTTCGCCGTTTGAGGACCAGGCTGGAACATGGCGCGTAAACTCGAACGCTTCTGTAGTGAAGGAAAGGGCAATGGTTTGCGTGCTGCCCTGCCGATAAGAGCAGGAGAACAGATATTCACGGCTGAACCGTACGCGCACGTTGTTTCTAAGAATGGGATGGGAACTACGTGTGAATATTGTTTTTCACGGTAAGATGCCCAAACATCTAACACTAATATATATATATATATATATATATATATATATATATATATATATATATATATATATATCATAATATATAATATAAACAATGACACTTTGACAGAAGAGTACTCTTATTTTACGCTGCCCTTCAAACATAACGGGATATTGGCAGTCTTAGTTTGTGTTACTGAGTTTGCACTTTTGCTGCTTAGGAAGTTTATGTTGCAAACTAATTCCTGCAACAGTCTTGTACGTACTTGTGTTTTTACGATTGCACTCTCTCTGTAATCCTTAGTTTATAAGTTCTTTATGGGTCAGTGTACAAGCTTGAGAGATATGATCTGGGTTGGATTTGGTGTGTCATGTAGGGTCTCATTTACCCGTTGACTTAATTTGCTCGGTTCTGCCTGTGCTCTCAGGGTGTGATTGTTTTTCAGCAGTGCTTGAAGCGGGCCGGTACAGTCACCGGTACGTACCGGTACCTCTTGTTTTCCTCTTCGAGTACCGGGAACGTTCTTTGCGTAGTGACACCTCTCAAAATCTACCGGTAGTGAAAAACAAGGTGAGTACCGGTGTTCTGTCATAAAATACTACCTATCGAGACGTGCTATCGAGCCTTTCTGCGCATGTGCAGTTCCACCGTTTTGGGATTAGGGTTAGGCTTTAGGGGTTAGGGTTAAGGTAAGGGTTTTGGGGGGTTAGGGTAAGAGTTAGGGTTAGGGCTATTGATTAGCACTACGGTAGCATTTTTTGACAAGGCAGCATATATTGACTGCAACCTGCAACTGCCCTATATCACTGGCACCTGTTTTTTTTTCACACTTCAAGCACTGTATATCAAGACAAAGTAGAGGCAATAGTTTGTTGCCAGGACTGGACTAGACATCAGCTTGGGCGTCGTTAGGTCTGATTACTGGGGGCTGTGAGCCTAACCCTGAAGCCAGTACATCCCCAACAAGGCCTCATTCAGCCGTAACAGTGCATGCTACAGGTAAACTTGACTTAGCCCCCGATCTTTTCAGTGGCTAGAAACAGCCCTGGGCATAAGTGCACATAGTGTCACATCACCCATGCATGCTGTGTCTGCATGCTCCTCCAGTGTTGTGTGGGTTTCCTCTGGCTAGTCTGGTTTTCACCTGCAGTCCAAAAAAATGCAGTGTTGCAGTTTGACCAAAAATATAGTGGGTGAAATCTTATAGAAGTGTTAAACATCTGAACAAGCTAGTGAAATCATTGTAGTTATTTGACAAGTATAAATACATGAAAGTGAAAGTAAGTATTGAATTACAATTCGTTAAGTAAGGTATTCAGAAAGGAGGACTAGAATTGGTGTCTTTGATGTGATGCATACCTGGACAATTCTACAGCGGAGGTAATTTTGTTACCAAAATGTCATGCATGTTGGGATAAAAAGGCAGAAGACCGATGGTATTTCAGACAGAGTAAGTCAGTTCTTTTCACATTGCTGCCAGATTCAGTTGTAATTCTGTTACCATAGAACCATAGTCTTGAGTCATTCACTGCCAAATATGGAGTAGCAGTAGTCTCTCAGAAGAGTGGTGTCTCCCGTCAGGTGAGAGGTGAGCATCTCCCCCTAGTGCACTGGAGGTGAATTGAGGTCCACAAATGGCACTGATGCTGAAGGAGGGGGTGCTGGGCCTCCTCTTTACATGACAGGTTAAGGATTTTGTTGAGCCACTAAACACTTCAGAGCAGCATGTGTCTCAGTGGGCTAAGCCTCCGTGCCTGTGATCAGAAGGTTGCAGGGTCGAGCTCACACTCAGCACGTCTGTGGGTCTCTGAGCAAGGCCCTTAACCCCCAGGTCCCTGAGTGCTGCTATGGGTGGCTGCCCTTCGCAGACAGCTTGCTCTCATCTACAGAGAGCAAGTTGGGGGAGGCGTAAAGAGAATTTCCCCATGAGGATCAATAAATGATCTATTACTATTATTTAACAACAACAACAACGACGACGATGATGATGATGATGATAAATTGAGAGGCCTGGACATCTTACAGAGATGCCCGCAGACCAAAGAATTAAATTCTTCAATAACCTTTACTGTGGTCTTAAGGTGTTTTTGGAAGGTTCTGTACAATATCCTTTGGCTGTTTTATTTTATTTAGATAAATTATGTGAAATAGTGCATACAGTTTTTTTAATTATAGAGGAAGAAGCTGGTGGATTGAGGCGGAGCACGTAACAGCGGCCTCCCGAGATTTATCCTGTATAACATCATAAAGATCAGACCTTTTCTATCTCAATATGCAGCTCAGCTTCTAGTACAGGCACTTGTCACTCCACAACTTGCCTGCAGCAACTGTCTGTTGGCAGGTCTGCCAGCTTGTAAAAACACGACACGTTGTCAGTGGTGTAGTGGGATCAGCGTTTCATTTTGCCTCAGCCTCAAAGCTAGCTGAATGCCCATTTGTTAGTGATGGCCAAAACGACATATCGTGAACCATTTGCAGTATTTTTTTGACCCCACTAGATGGTGCTCTTGGGTTGGTTTGAGGCATGTTTTGGGCCCTTTTTGTACTGAGCGCTCCATCTGGTGGGGTCAAAAAATGCACCAAATTGAAATCTGATCGTTTTTAAGTTGCATCCTTGTCACCCTTTTCACCTCTGATGAGTTTGCATCCCAGTAAATGTAAATGTAGGTTCATAGATGTAAGCCAGAAATTCTTTTAGACTGCTTTGACTGTTGTATCCCCCTGAGACCCCACCCATTCATTTATGTCCATTGTAGTGGACGTTTTATTTTTGCATCTATCTTTTCACTGATGTTGGGAAACGTATTTATTCCTGTTGTGCACTAAAGAGGACATGCTGTGAAATTAAAAAAATAAATAAATTTGAAAAAATCTAAATTGTAAGATGTCTTATTTCCTCCAAAGACAAATAACCTAAAATTGAAGGACACTTTTTTTCCTTGGGTCTCAGGAGGATATGACTAGATCTTATGGATGATTTGCTAGGGAAGCAATTGCCAGAATTCCTTGTTTTTAATATGGAATGATGGATTTACATTGTTTGGAATTGGTTTTGTAATTCTTCCTGGAATTGTTGGCAAAAGACTGAGAATCTGTTTGAGAGCATGTTCAGATTTGAGTGCTCAACAGTTCAAGCTGTATACATAATATATTTGTTTTGTTCAAAGTGAAGATCATTTTTTAATGTTAATCTGTTTTATGTATATGCTTGTAAACTCTTAATATGAGATTATTGGACTACGGGTTCCTTGTTTTTATTTGAGGATTCTGTGTGTTACCTTTTAAATGCACGGCGGTAAACGGAGCATTCGCTTGTCAGATTTGGTGATATGCATGTACCATTACAGCTGGATGAGGCCTTGATGGGGATGTACAAACACACGTTTACATTTGTTGAACCATAAAACATAAAGGAGAACACAGTCTTACCTCTGCTTTTCGCTATTGGACATATAAGGAAGCTCAGAAGGCACCACACAGTGTGGTGGTTAGGAAAATGGAGCTGAATCCAGAGGGTTTGTTAGCTGTGACAATCTGTCTGTTTTTGTACGTATTGCATAATAGAAGTTCAGATTTTTTGACTCGCAGTTGATCTGTCGAATTACTTGTTACAATGTAATACATGGACCTGTATAAGATAAGATCACCCAAGACCCAGCAGCTGTATGAGAATTAGCAGTAGTGAATAGTTATGGACACTTGGGGGCAGTGTTATCCCAATAAATATTACATAAATTAGGTTGACTGATTGTTCGTGGGCATTTACATTATTCATTTCTCCAGTTAAATCATAAATGAGTTATTACCCTAATCCTTACATTCTTAATTTTAATTTCTATTATAAAGTCACATACTTGTTTGTTTAGATGGAACTTTATTACACCATGTAGTAAAAAGATGCATTTACTGTACAAAAACATTATTGAAGAAATAGGAAGGAACATCGGAAATAGGAGGAAAGAGGTAAATAAAATCTCATTTTATTGCTGTCGCTAGGATTATATTAATTCTTAAACTGCTTCTTCTTCATTGGACATCTTTCACCAGATTCCACTAATGCCTCCTTGTCCTTTGGTGAACTCTGCTGTTGCATCCCCCCCCCCCCCC